GCTTAACTCTGATTGAATCAAGAGTCCATTTTCTTGTCAATGTTTTCAAGAGTCTGCACTCTAGATACACTGTGTTTTTTTTTTTCCAGTGCAGACGCATTTTTCCTCTGGTTAACTTCGCAAATTTCCCGCCCAGGATTCTCTTTCCCTCGGTTGATCCTTCATTTTTTATCGTTTTATCATTTATTTTCGGTGCGCTTTGTTTTCCTTTTTCCTTATAACGATAAGTAACAGCAAACGGGGGGTGTAGGGAGGGGGAGTTGAGAGATCTCGGTGTGCCGTGGGTACATCCCTGCCGCGAATCTGGCGGCTGCGTACGCGTAGTCGTCGGAGCAGAATTTAATATAAATACAGCTTCATAAATCCTTCGGCTTGACTGGGCCTACCGCGAGCTCCTGCCGGGCGCCCCGCTCCGAAAAATCGCCTTTACTCGCGGGATTTTTCCGGGGAGTTAAGCGGTTTTTGTCGACTCCTTCGGCTCGTCGTGAACTATCCCACTCTGCTCGGATTCAATTGGGAGCTTACCCGAGCTCGGACATCCACCAATCAACGCAAATTGCACCCGATCCTATCAGGTTTCGCGACTTGCCGGTAGCCGGATCGCTGCCCAATCCTCCGAACCGGTTCAAAATTTGAGATGATACACGTCTATTTTTGCAGCGAGAAAAAGTAACTAAGATTTTGGCTTTTTAAAAAGTACAACATGAAAGTGGATCGCATTTTGTAAAAAGGCACCAAGAGCTTTTGAACATCGCTAAGATTTATCAATTTTGTTTTACTTTGCAAATATATGCTGACCATCCAAACAAGTTTTATCTTTACCCCTAATTAACTATGAAATTACTACGATACTCACCTTTGTTAATTTAATTTTTTGTATGATTTCTGTAAGTTTTTGCAAAGAATGTAAGTTGCATACTCCTATCACCACTAGAATATTTTTGGTTCATTTTTCCAAAATGCAATGCACGTATCCTGCACGTGCGGTTACTATTTTTGGGTCATTCTCTCCATAGGTTACATAGACTAAATTCGTGGGTTGAAAAATTGCAGCCTCGCGAAAAATCAGGTAAAATTAAACATGGGTTGAATTGGTGATGGGCCAATGCGCTAACTAGTCAGAAGTTGCAATTTTTGTGTGATATAGAAAAACAAAAGAGTACACTTGTTCAGCAGGCCGTTTTCTTCATCGACAGATGTCCCAGAATAACTCAAAATAACGTTCAATTAAACCGAAATTTGTTTTGAGCACACAACTCGTTTTAACTGACCTAAGCAACAAAAAATCAACCCGAAGCAAAACAAGGAATTTTCTTATTGTGTACGCTGGAGGACTACCACTTTTTTTAAGCTCATCTGTAAATCACTGTTCTGCTCTGTATATTACTGACTCCTGAGTGGCTTATTGGACCAACTGCATAATGACGAGACGAAGTTCTTTCCAATTCTTTTGGAGATCACCCAATAGGAGAATACTTTTTTAAGGAGGTAACCCTGAAGTATTGAAATCGGTTACTTTACTGCACGGAAAATTTATGCCGTTTTCTGATAAGTTCGTCCAATTTTTAGGCTATTGCAGGAATTCTGAGTACATTGTAATGAATGCCAAAAAGCGGAAATATCCAAAAAAGCAAATTTGGGGTGGCAAAAGGTGGGAGTCTTTTGCGGAAATGGACCACTCACTTGCGCTTTTAGGTTACCGCCTTGTAAAATATATTGGCCAAGACTATTTGCTTTCTACAGAGCAACGCATATCTTTTCCTGTGGATACCCTCCCACGATCACGTTGTAAACCATATGGGTCATCCCGAAGGGAAGGAGCTGTTGACCCTTATTTTCCAGGCCGGGCACCACTTCAGGGCAGATCCCCCTATTTTAGGCCCTAAAGCCGAAGAACACCACCGGGCCGACTGCGAGGCCGTAGCCCATAAAAATCGTTGGCAACCTGGATAGGACGGTAGTCCGGGCGGTGCGGTGGTAGGCCAGGAGACTAATGGCCGAGTGGCCACTCTCACGGCGAGGCCCAATTTTGCATTCGTCAGTGAATTTGTTCGCTGTCACCCAATAAATACACGAGATTCTATCTCTAATCACTCACATGGCCGGCTCCCGGTTGTAAACAACGGGTCCTGGCCAACTGGGGCCCCAGTCCGAGTTGGAGCGGAGCTTTCGAAATGCGATCCGAGACTTCAAGAGCGACACCAGCTAACCTCGAAGATCCGCTTCACTGTCCACTACGAGCGGGTGCATCTTTTGGTGCTCACCCCGATTTGGTCATCCACTAAATTAGGGGGAAATAGGTCTTCGCGGTCAAATGCATCATTTTAATCTTTCAATTTTTGAACTTTTACTGTGGAAAATGATGTTACAATAGTGCGAATAGACCGAAAAGTTAGCCTCAAAATTCTTTTCACAGGAAAGAAAAAAACTCATTGGATCTGGAGTCCTGACTCTTGAAAACATTGACAAGAAAAGATACTCTTGATTCAATCAGATTTAAGCTTAAATCCAAAGGAAATCCGCTCAAATTAAGAGGCATGGTTCTTGATTTAAGCAGAAATCCGATTGAATCAAGAGTATTTTTTCTTGTCGATGTTTTTAAGAGTCTGGACTCCAGATCCAATGTGTTTTTTTTCCAGTTTAGCAAATATCCTCAACATCGTGTATGTAACTTTTCGCGGGAAAAAAATTCTGGAAACAAGTTACAGGGTAAGTAGGCGAAGAAATCGTCTACAAATGAGCTATTGGATACCTACTTGTCCCTAATTTGATTCCGTCCAAGAAGAGGAAATTATTCAGTATCCAGTAAGATCGCGTCGCAGAAGTTAACGCGAGAACCAATTTTCCCACGGAACAAAACCCTGGAGGCAGAAAATGACGGGAACTCTGTAGGGCATCTTGCATGCATTCTCAGTTAATGTCCCATACTCCCGTTGACAATGTTCCTTGTCTTCCCAAGTTGCAGAGCGGTTGATCGCTGAAACACCCTTGTCTACGTCTGATGACACGTCCCTGTCAGATAATCGTAATAAATAATCATCTCTACTGCTTCGACTGACGGCATCGCGCAACTCCTCCCTCCTCCGAGCTCGCGGTCCGTTTGAATTTATTCCCCCTTTTCCGTCCGCAATTTTAATTAATATCATACTTTCTCTCGCACGATCCGCGGTGAAAAAAGTCGAAGTATGGAATAAATTTCGTGCCGCGGGGCGCAGGAACGGAGGCCTCGTCCGCTGCTCGAGGTTTTTTGAGTTCGATTCAAATGAACAGGTGTAATTGAGACTAGTTCAGGCGGAGACTGATTTTAAATCAGACAGTTCATTGCGTTGCGGCCTGGTCTCGAGACTTTAACGTGGTAGCTGGGATCCCGGGTATTGCCCGGCGTGGAATTGTGCGCGCTGCGTTGTCGTAGTGCGTTTATCGCATGGAGGAAATAGGTACGTAGTATACTAGATCACAGTGCTCCAGTCGATTCCCGACCTGCGGGCTGATTATTGAAATTGATGGACAAAGCTATGGACAATGAAGACGAAGGGAATATAGAGCGGTCCGATTGGTTGAAATGGGTGGTTGTATATACAGGACGTCCGGAAGTCAACGTACTTAACTTTCAGGATCGCTTTTTCGGCTCAAAATATGCTTTTTTTTCTAATACATACACACATGCCCGAAAACGCTTCATAAGTGAGCTATGCGCTTCCAAAGTTGCCACTTATGAAAAAATGACGAGAATTTACATCAATTTGAAAGAAAAAAAATGGCAACTTTGGAAGCGAATATCTCACTTATAAAGCGTTTTCGGGCATATGTGTTTGGGGGAAAAAAAGTCATATTTTGAGCCGAAAAAGCGATCCTGAAAGTTAAGTACGTTAACTTCCGGACACCCTGTAGAATTATGGTGAAAATGATGGACTAACAGTCAGGTCTCTCCTGGGTTGCCGTCAGTTGATCTGATTTTTTCTCCTCTCCCTCGGAAAATCAATTTGAAAGGAAAACTACAATGACACAGAGTCAGCTTCGTCAACACCTTCAGAGAGAAAAGTGAATGGAATTTCCACTCGTCGGCAACGAGGCAATGGCACGTCGAGCCGAGCCAAAGCCCTCGCGAAGAGCGCGGTGGCTACAAATCATAAACAAACTGGATGGTCGCGAAATGATGTTTCCTGTTGGAGCCCCTAACAAGCAATCAATTAACATTTAGGCCGCGGCCGGGGCGATTCGCACTTGGCCGACTGGAAAATAAGATGCTAATGGCCCGGCGAGAAGCGGTCGCGCCGCCGCGCCGCACTCGCCACTCGCCACTCGCCTCATGACCGCTCGCACGACAACTTTAATCGCGCGTCTGTCTTTGCGAATACTCGCGTCCCGCGTGTGCGTGCAGTCGTGCACCTTGCAATGCGTCAACGAGGATTCCTCGCGCTGCAGTTACGATTACACCCTTCAGCCGCAGTCACACGGTTAAAAGGCCTACATACACGGTTATAGTGTGGACCATAATATTGGCTTAATTTGGGAGTCTCCGATGCGTCGTTAAGCGATGAACCTTAAAGTCACTATATGGCCTGGTTACACGCTCTTTCCGTCAAATTCCGATCAAAATGATGACCAAGATGGCGGTCGAGAGTTATCTAGATTTATGAGTGAAATTAAATAAAACAGCTTGTTGATTCCCCTGTGACATAGGTCGGTACAACCTGGCCAGCGAAATCCGGAATTCGAAATATGATAAACGGACCATAATGTCCAATTTTTTCACTTAAATCAACTCATGATATAATTTCAAGCACTCTCTATAGAATGACTTTTTTCCATAAATTACTCCATTTCCAAGAAAATCGATGATAAACGTCGCTGTACCGTACCGACCTACGTCATCAAAAAAATTCCAAGATGCCCGAAATGCAAACACCTCCTTTTTTTCATGCTATTGTTATTATCTATGCGGATTTGAGAAGGATGCTCTTGCTGAAAATTGATGATTTGTTTTGCGTGTGTTTCAGTATGCTCAGGGCTCAGGGTTTTTCGAGCTGCAGATCCTGGAAATGGTCAACTTCCACGGCGAGCTCCTGAGCGGGGTCTGCTGTGGCGGGATCTACCGGCGGGATAGCTCCGAGCAGTGCGTCTTCCCGTGCAACACGTTCTTCCGCGTCTGCCTGAAGGAGTACCAGGTCAACGTCTCCTCCACCGGCTCCTGCTCCTTCGGCAACACCTCCAGCCCTGTCCTCGGCGCCAACTCCTTCACCCTCACCGACCCCGACATCGGCAAACTCGTCATACCCTTCATCTTCCGATGGACCGTGAGTACCCCTCATTTCTCGCCCATTTCACCCTCAGTTCCACGCATCCTCCTCAAATGCAACTAAGTCCAAATGGGCTCATTTTTTCTGAGCATTTGCACAAATCTGCACTGAAAAAACCTCCGGCCATGGAAGGGTGCTTACGGGCTGTGTAGACACACCGTTCGCGTTCCGGGCACAGAGGCCGAAAGTCCTAGGCATAGCACCCGGAGCAGTTGAAACTTCGGCTCCAGCATCCGAAACTTTTGGCCTCTGAGCCCGGAACAGATAGTATGTCAATATAGCCCGTACCTATTTTTAGCGTGACCGCTTGGCAACAAAGCACGAAAGTGTAATATGGAATAATGGAATATAAATCTTTTCTTTCGCACTTTTACAGGCCTGGGACTGTCCAATATCAACAGTCATTGGGCGTATCTAATTTCTTCTTCTTCTTCTTTTATTTTCTGGGTTGGAAGAGGTATTGTGGTGAAATTGGCATACTATTTAGTTCCTTTGTATTTAGTTCATTTGTACATAGTTATCTTTACCTTAATTTTGTCCAGTTTCAAGTAGATTCCTCAATATCTAGCGAAGAACTATTTCTTAAAATACGTAGGTCTATGCGGATAGGGGGTCGGATTTTACGCTACTGGGAGAAGGGGGAGTCCGCACTTGCTGTAAGTAACGCTGGAATCAGTGCGTTTTCAAGATGAACCGTTCAACGCGAGGTGGGAATTTTTCTTCCGTAAATGAAAATATTACCAATTTATGAAGGAGTCAATGATTTTCCTTGTCACGTTTATTTTATCAACGACCCCTCTGCATTGTAATGGTATTCAAATAGCATTTGCTCCTTCATTTTGCCAGAAGAAACTGACCATTTAAATAGTTTTTATTTTATCTCCCTAAATCCAGAATATGGCCCTGAAAATTCCATGTATCGATCCGTCTTTAGTTTTCCAGTTAGTAAATATTGGAGTTACACTCTGCTAGTAGTTCATTGAAATGGGCAGTTCAAATGTAAAACGTTGCGCATTTTATGCCGTGCATTTGCTCATCATGTAAGCACTCGCTTGCTCAACGCAAGAAGTCCATTCCTCAGTTCAATCAAACAATGCTTACGGAAGCCGTTTTCCCTCGATAACTAACTTGGATTGCATTTCGCAAAGAGGAACCAGGAGCATTCCAATGTCGCTAGGATTATGTAATTTTCTTTACAGTGCAAATCTAAACTGATCATCTATACAAAATTTATCTTTACTCTCAATATACTATGAATTCAAGAGGAAAATTATCCTTGTAAATTTGATTTTTTTTTTTTCATTATTTCAGTAATTTTGTGGCAAAGAATGTATGTTACACAATCCTAGCAACATTGGAATGCTCTTGGTTCCTTTTTGTATAATGCAACCCGCTTGATCTTCCGTCATGTGCCCGGCAATCAAGTTTTGAGAATCTCTGCAACGGTCTTAGATTGTTGGATTCTGTGGTTACAAGACTCTAAATAGTTGCCTTAGAAATTAAAAAAAAAAAAAACAGACAGAAGATCATGCACTGAGTACGTTCGAATAAAATCAGGTTTGAAAACATGAAAAGGAAGCGGATTGTTATTCAATTAACATAGTTAACCGACTGGCAATTTTCCTGATCGCTGCCATTTTCGGATGCTACGAAACTGAAAGAAATTAATCTATTTTGTCTCATTCGACGATACCCTTAACTCGATCATTTTCGACGTCGAAAGTTAAACGCGGAAATCAAACCGAAAATTTGAGGACCAGCCACTGCGCCGCGATGAAGATGTGCGTAATTTTCTGGATAATTTCCCCGGCGCCGACCGATATTAAGTGGGTATTTACCTGAAATTTGAATAATCATTTTGAGTGGCAAGATGCAGCGTCGATGGAAGGAGATCTCTGGGAACGACTCTAAATTAGTTTTTCGACCCTCTCTCTCCGTTTCGCTATCGAAAGTAACGAACCGCGCCTTTTCAAATATTTATCAGAGTCGAGCCTCGAGAGAGGCTCCAACGATGTTGCCAGAATTTCAATCGAAGTATATTTTTCCTGCATATATTTTTATGCGTTGTTTCATATTCCCTGTTTTTCACATTTTTATTGTATCACATATCGCACCATCATTGTGTTTCGTAATAATAAAAACTTACAAATTTAATCGTGTAGATTTCAATGTTCATTAAAACGACTCCAGGAGTTTCTAAGCGCAGACCTGCAGAACCTGCATCTTCTGCAGGTTACTATTTTAAATTAAGTTAAGAAGGAGATACCGCAGCAGACGCAGGTGCCCCTCCAATCCTCACACACTAAAAAACTTCAACATATGTGATGAAACTGAATTCTTGTAAATAAACAAGTGTACTCCTTGCTTATGAACAAGTTCCATTCTAAGGAATTAAACGTGCTCCCATGTCACTGACGCACTATGGCATACTGTATATTGCATAACGGTATATCTTAATTACCTTGGAAGAGTCTTGAGTCTTTCGGAGAGTCTTCAATTACTGGATTGGTCGGAGAACCTGTCGGTAAATATGGAAAGATGGTTAGTATTTAAAATAAAACATTCGAATGAAAAAATTCACCACCCTATGGAATTAAACCTGCTCCCAGGTCATAAACTAGCGGATCGCTTGTTCTTGAACAAGCCCCGGGAAACCATCCCCTAAGTTTTTGTGTAAAATATTATTAATGGGTTCGAGGGTGATCATCCCTTCTTTCCTACTCTCTGCAGCAATCCTAACGACACAAATAAAATTTATGTATTAATTCCTAATAAAGTAATAAATTAATAACACTGACTTACGCTTCTTAGGCGGCTGTGATGTTTCATCCTCTTGAGAATGGGTGTCACACGTATCCTGATCTTGTCTGTGCCGTTTACTGCTATCTTTTTGAGACTGGTTTCCAACAGAGGGGTTGTTCTCCTTAACTTCCGTAACTTTGCTTCTCAGATTTCTCGCAGAAACTGTCAATAAATATGGAATTTTGGTTAGTATATAAAATAAAACATTCGAATCTTAATCACTGCGTAGGCATCTAGGGCCATCACACCTAGGAACCTTCGAATGAAAAAAATTCACCACCCAAAGGAAGTAAACCTGTTCGTAGGTCATAAACCAGCGGATCGCTTGTTCTTGAACAAGCTCCGGGAAACCAACCCCTAAGTTTTTGTGTAAAAAATTAATAATGGGTTCGGAGGGTAACCATCCCTTCCGTGATCGCAACTCTGTCAATAAATTTGGAATTTTGGTTAGTATATAAAATAAAACATTCGAATCTTAATCACTGCGTAGGCATCTAGGGCCATCACACCTAGGAACCTTCGAATGAAAAAAATTCACCACCCTATGGAATTAAACCTACTCCCAGGTCATAAACCAGCGGATCGCTTGTTCTTGAACAAGCTCCGGGAAACCAACCCCTAAGTTTTTGTGTAAAAAATTATTAATGGGTTCGGAGGGTAATCATCCCTTCCGTGATCGCAACTCTGTCAATAAATTTGGAATTTTGGTTAGTATATAAAATAAAACATTCGAATCTTAATCGCTGCACAGGCATCTAGGGCAATCACACCTAGGAACCTTCGAATGAAAAAAATTCACCACCCTATGGAATTAAACCTGCTCCCAGGTCATAAACCAGCGGATCGCTTGATCTTGAACAAGCTCCGGGAAACCAACCCCTAAGTTTTTGTGTAAAATATTATTAATGGGTTCGAGGGTGATCATCCCTTCTTTCCTACTCTCTGCAGCAATCCTAACGACACAAAGAAAATTTATGTATTAATTCCTAATAAAGGCATCAATTAATAACACTGACGCACGCAGGCATAAAAAAAAAAAAAAAAATACCTTTACTCTTAAGTCCCCTTCTCCTAGGGGGGAGGAATACACCTTCCTCATCTGTCGCGTCTGCTTCTTGATGTTCATCGCCGGTTGCTTGCTGTTCTTCGCCGGTTGCTTGCTGTTCTTCGCCGGTTGCTTGCTGTTCTTCGGGCGGGTTGCTTTCTTCATTACGACACTTCTTTATGACGGTGGAATCCAAGTATCGAGGAAGGGTGTACTTTTCCCCCCTGTGCTGGGGGTTCTTATTACGGGTACCCCCGCCCTTCAAACTAAACTCCCTGCTTGGATCTTCGTTTGGGGGGAGGTGGCGCGTCGTGGATATTACCATATTTTTAATTTTGAAAGCTGCGTCCACACCCTCCAAATGCTGGACACTGAATTTCGACGATCCATTTGAATAGTAGTACAGAAATTTTGGGATGTTCAGGGATTCCTTGACAAACAAGAGTACCTCCTCCATTTTCTGGAACAAATGAATGTAAAAGTAATAAATAAATTTCTGTATGTTGAGGGATTCCCTGATGAAGTTGAGTACCTCCTCCATTTGCTGGAACAAATGAATGTACATACAGAATTTCTTTTTTAACGAATGAGCTCCTGAAAACTGAAGTTTTAGGGTACTAACAAAGTTTGGAAGAAATAGCCCTATACTGCCCAACTTCTAGTACATGAACTAGTATTTTGCTTGTTCATGAGCAACTATTATGTTGCTCATGTACCACTGAATATGTTGGTTATGAACGTGACAAAAATGTAAGAGAGTTTGCAAGTCTGAACCGTACAGGCACATCTACCCTTTCCCGACGCTCATAATATTCATGAACATGTGCATTTGTTGCTTATTACAATTTCAATTATAATCTTACGTGTACATCTACAATCTTCATTCCATATTGTAGTCAGTAATCGAGGAGGGACGACGATAACGAGTACTTTTAATAAGCTTCACTAAATATTCAACTTGCAATTTGAAGCATTAAGTGAAAAAAAACTCACCTCCTTCAGTGTTGCAATAGACCAGGTCTCAGTCTTCACATAAACCCGGCCGCCAATTGACCAAATCTCCCCCTCTGACATATCGATCAGGTATTGTCGAATCTTAAAGAAATGCTCCTTCGGCATGCAGGTTTCTAAATCTTTATCCAATGTAACA